GAGTTGATGCCATCGATGAGTCTATTAACTGACGTCTGATTACTGTTTATATCACTAATTTGTGGCGCCTTTTGAGGCAAAATCACATTAAATGAGTCGTTAGTTGAATGGCTTTTGAAGGTCTGTCTCAAAGAGTTTGCATTTAATGCTGTCATGTCTATCACTGGAAGGCTAGAGGGCTGGGAGGTTACGGCGCTCAAGGCGTTTAAGTGGAGCGTCTGCGACGGGATCACGTAAATGGGCTGTTGTTGGCCTACAGTGGCCGTCGCGGTCGACACCACTGTCATGTTGGGAGGGCTCCCGCGCGGCAGTAATGGCTTATTCTGGCCGAACACCGGCTTAGGAGTGGGCCGGCGCTGACGGCGCGTGTATTTGTTTGACTGCAACTGCCGTAAGGCCTCCTGAATAGAAGCGCCGCAAACGTTGCGTGTCTTCGGCTTATTAACGGCTTTTGGCGCCGGAGTCGTCGGCACTATAAAGTTGTCGCCTTTGGCGGCATCCATAGCGACGGCCACACCGTCTGTCGCAGCGTTCGCTGGCTTTGGGTTTCCGTCGTTACTGTTATTGTCGTTAAAAATTGTGTTTTTTATCACATTTGATAGCATTTGAGAGGAATTGTCGTTCGGTTTCAAGAGAATAGGCGACGAAACGGAGGGCACCAACACTTGCGTCGGTTTTATACGCTTTTTCTTCTGGGTCTGAGATGTGGACGCATTGATCGGCCTTTTCATCGATAGGAGCGACACATTCGCCGCTAATAAGAGTCGATACAAGAGCTCAGAGCTGTCGGCTTTGTCCGCAACGGAAACATTTGTTTTCTCCTCTTTGTTACCATTCGTGTCATCACTGGATGTGACGACAGACTCTTCATTGTCCGGAGGAGTGGTATTCAACTCAACCTTTAGTTGAATGGGTTCCCAGACGTACTCCAATAGAATAGTCTTCGGGCACCGGAACAACAAATACAACTCTCCGATAGACATGGAACCGGTTTCGGTGAGCGACCACCCCTTGCGAGCCCTGTTGGCGCTGAGCGTCGAAATCTGATTCTCATTCGTGTCGGTCGTTGTGGGCGTCTTCTTCTCGTTGTCCTCCACTTCATTGTCCTCATTGTCTTCGGGCTCTCCATCGCCAGTACTCAGCCATTGGGCGAGCGTTGCATTGGCCGGCGGCTCCGGGAGACAGACGTTCACATTAGTGTCGGGCGAAGGGATGTCGCGGTCCTCCTCCTCCTTGTTCTGGTCGTCGTCTTCCTTGTCGTCCTCTTCATCCGTTCCGTGTATTTCTTCGCACATTCTGTTCATCTTCTCCAACATCCGTAGCAAAGCCAACGACCGCTCGGCCTCTCCCTTAGGCTCGTCCTCATCGGACTTCCCCTCGCCTTCCGACCACTTATTAACCGTTGAATCGGTTTTACTCTCTTTCGATGAATTGTTTTTATCGTCACTTTCTCTGAGCTTTTCGTCGGGACTCTCACTGTTCGGTGACTTCATATTCGGCTCACTATTCGAGTCTTTGGTGTCTTTCGACGGTTTACTTGCTTTCGATTTCTTCGACTTTGTCTTCAACTCCTGATTGTATAGAGTCTTCACATAAGCCGTAAGACTTAAATCCATTTGCGATGAATTGAAATACGATTTACTGAGCGATACGTTGTGCAGATGACCGCTAGAGTGGGGCCTAACCCGCAAACACAGGTCACCGGAAGTGTTGATGGGAAGGGATGTCCCGCACAGTGTGCGACACTCCGAGTCTTTAAGGCGCGACTGATTCCAGCGTTTCTCCAGATACTCGACTAAACACGACAAACGCTTTTGTAAAGACATTTTGGTTCTGACTCTGGGATTCTGGGACAGGGAGTGCACTCTCAGCCACGACTCGTTGTTCGCCGGATGCAACTCAATGCACACCTCTTTCGGCAAATTCAGTAGATTCTGGTCGACATTCTCAGCGACTATTCATTCATGAAAAGCACAGTTAAAACCAATTGATCGCAACATTTGCCACAATTGATCGCAACATTTGTCACAATTGATCGCAACATTTGTCACACAATTTCACAAACCTTTGATTTTATGAATTTTCTTCAATGCGTTACAAATGGGAGTTTTGACGCGAATTCTGCCTTTTTTTACTTTGAATGTCGTATGACTTGAATGCAAACAATCAGATCAAATGATTAGATAAAAATCGCTTTCATGAGTAACACATATGTATAGAAATCGTACCCAAAATTAACCAATTGTTGCAAAGAAAAGCTTAATTTGTTATCAAATTTAGTGCCAAACTTCTTCCAAATCTCGCCGTAATTAATGAGTCCATAAATCTCTTGAATATTTTTGTCCACAACTGAAGTGAATTCAAATGACAATCAAAATCAGACAACATATGAATCAATGCATTCATTCAGACCCTCATTGGGTTCCATAGAGTTTGCGATCTTATGCCACANACGACTCCAGCGATCGTTGGATTGGTTTCGATATGCGATTCGACTTTCGCCTCGAAATCAACTGATTTTCGTCCAAATTCGGTGACAACGACTGGCCGTTCAGCTCGTGAGTGACGGTCTTCGTGGCGGTGGCGCTCGCGAGGGGACAGTCGGCTAAGACCGACAACTCATTGTCGCAAACGCTGTGATTGTTGTCATTGTTGTCGAGCGAGTGGTTAGGCTGTGGTGTCGGTGCCAAAGCGAGTCCGTCGTTCACCTCTTCATCGCCGTGTTTGTGGTGATGATCACCGAAATCGCCATCACTTTCATTGCTGTCCGACCCATAAGCGAGTGACAAATGGCGCCAAAAAGTCGTGTAAATCGCGATTCAATTCAATTGATTTGTAAATAAAGTGATGAAAATGGCGTCAGAAGTGGTGTTAGCGATGGTTAGCCTAAGAACTCACCCGAACTGAGACCAGTTGTGCGACAGACCCTCCAATCGTCTCCTTTTTGGCATTTTCTTCATACGATTGCAATGAATGTGCAAATCATATGTGAATCACAATCACAATCGTAATGTGTTTTAAGTAATCATTGCATTCACGCTATGCTTTTGAGCCCAAACTCACAACTGTTTGGCTCTGTTTTGCACTCAATTTGAGTGACGTTTTCAATGCAAACAAAACATTTCTCTTGAACTCTCTCTGTCTCTCACTTTTTCCATACATTTGCAGCACTAATGCTGTACTCTCTGTGCTCTCCAAACGCACATCACTTCACAAAGTTTGCGATACTTTTGCCGCTATCTATGCACGAGAAATGTTTCCAACACTTTTGGACACACTTTTACTTCTTTAGTAACTTTTCATTTTTCCTAATTTACATATTATTCATGTTATTTTCACTTCATTTATTGCTTAATAGTAGTGTCAGTCTTATGATATAATCATAATTATCTGTTTTAATCAAATGTTGTATAGTTTTCTATCGGGTTATGTATTTGTAAGCATTTTTCTGAATCATATTTTTTAAGTTGTTGTAAAAATGTTTGTAATTCTTGGTGTAATATAAAAATAAATTAGTAAATACTTTATTAACTTATTTACTACTTTAATTACTTATGAATAATGGTTTATTAATTGGGTTTAAAGAACTTTTAAGATATTTATTATAACAGTTAATTTGTGTCAAAAAATTTAGTAAAATACCGGTATTTATAGTCATTCTTGTAGTTTCTATTGTATTAGATATTAATATAATTCAATGACTTAATTTATTTTCTTTGCAGCCAGTCATAAGAAATAATAATGATTCACCAATATTATTTCATTATTTTATTGTATTAAATATTCAACTGGGTCATATCACAAATATATTTGTCTTTATGTTTTGTTTAAATCTTTATAGTAACTAACTTTACAAAAACAATTTAAACTTAATAAAGTTAAAAATTTTTAAACACAGTACTGTATGTAGATCATTTAGGTATTCAAGGAATAACTAAATTATGAAAATTCTTGTATTAATAATTTAGTCAAAAATATTAAACTCATTATTTAACTCAACGTTCAATTGAGCAGCATCTATTGAGAAATAAATGTACCAGGCAATTATATTGAGAATAACTAATCAACGATTCTTAAATTCTTTTATATTATATTAACAATATTATTACCGTATATTATACATGTAAAATGTTATGAAAATAGGTGCGAGTACATAATCTCTAATGTGAACGCATATTACAATCTAAATTATATGATTATTGTACTTTTTATTATGTTTTGTCCCTTTTGGCCATAAATTCAAACACATTTCAGTTATTGATTTACACTTTAAAGAATAGTCAATAGAAAGTATTTTTAAATTTTTGTATAAAAATAATCTATAAAAATTTATTTTGATTTCACAACATAACCAATTTTTATAAATCTAAATATTATTTTATATGTTAAAATAAATAATTTAGTAATTCCGTGTTAATAATAGATATATTCATTCATTTATTTTAAAATTCTTTCAATTTTAATTATTTTCAGTTAAACTGTACAATAAATATACAAATATTTTTATATACGTTTAAATTCTTTGAAATGTTATATAAAATAAAATTATATTGGCGAATTCATACAATAATTTGTCATATTTAAAATAAATAACTCAAATTAGTATTTTATATTCAAACTAGACTTTCCATTTACACAGTGTATAACAAAGTAAAACACGAATTGATACATGGTGTACAATATAATAGAAAACACAAAGTTATTTAAAAACAATATTTACATAACTTTCAAGACATTTATTATATATTGACTCTAATATTCGTGGAGTTCTGGGTTTTGTTAAAATAAATAAATAAAGATTTGCGGTTAAAAGTGGTGTAACAAAAACAGGGGAGACTTTGAGACATTGAAAACAGAGACATAAACCGAGTCCGCAAATACTCCCGATATAACTAACGTTATAGTGGATCAACGCGTGAAACACCGTAAATAC